CTCCCTCTCCCCCCACTCTTCTCCCCCTCCCCCCACTCCTCTCCCCCTCCCTCTCCAATCCAAAGAGCAGTCATGGTTCCCTGCCCTGTGGAAAGTCCAAGGTCCTTCCCCCTCCGTCCATGTCTAGGAAGCTGAACATCCAAACTGGCTAGGCTCCCACCAAGCCGGAACATGGATCAAAACCCCTAATTAATTATTTTTTTAAAGAGTTTATTTATTATGTATACAACATTCTGCCTCCATGTATGCCCACATGCCAGAAGAGGGCGCCAGATCTCATTACAGATGGTTGTGAGCCACCATGTGGGTGCTGGGAATTGAACTCAGGACCTCTGGAAGAGCAGCCTGTGCTCTTAACCTCTGAGCCATCTCTCCAGTCCCCGAGACAAGTTTCTCTGTAGCTTTTGGAGCCGGTCCTGGAACTGGCTCTTATAGACTAGGCTGGCCTCGAACTCACAGAGATCCCACCAAGTGCTGGGATTAAAGGTGTGCGCCACCACCGCCCGGCTTGTTTTTGGTTTTTTGAGACAGGGTTTCTCTGTGTAGCCCTGGCTGTTCCAGAACTTGCTTGCTAGACTAGGATGGCCTCAAACTCAGAGATCTGCCTGCCTCTACCTCCAAAGTGCTGGGATTAAAAATGTGCACCACCACCACCTGGCCTAAAAAAAAAAAATTAACTTTAAAACTTCTATCACTCCTGATGAATTCCTTGGTCTTAAGACATAGTCTGATTCCCCATTCATCTTTGTGCATGATTCCTCCAAAACCTGTGACATGCTGCTAATAAACACTGCCGTTTGGGAAGCAAGCCTGTGAAGAGAGCCTTCAGTGCTTTGTTGTGCTCTCCTGCTTCTGCCCCACTCCAGGGACAAACACTGTGGATATTTTGAACTTGCTGCTTTTGCCCTTCCTGTCATCAAATGTTCTTGCCAAAGGAAATAATATCATTTCCTGATTAAATATTTGACATTCTGTAAAATCTGTGATTATAGCAAAAACTATAAATATCCTGAATGCTTAAGTCACTTTATTTCCAAACAGTTGAAAAGAATTATAGCTGTTACTGCATTCAGTTTCAATCACCTATTTATTGGTTTATTTAGTAAATACTGATTGAGATTTCATTATATATTGAGCATGGATTTAGACACAAGTGAGGCAGTGGTAAATAAAACAAAAATCCCTGCCTTTAATGAGCTTTCCATTCTAATTACACAGCAGTATTTAAAAGGAGCTCCCTAAGACACCATTAGAGGATATGAGTCAGAATCCTTTCCACAGTAATGCTGTGGTATTCTCTGCCAACCACGCTGAGGTGACACTTGCACTGAAAACACCAGTGCCACCATGAGTGAAATTCTTGATGTTACAGTCCACATGAACACCAGTGTTCGTCAGCTTTCCATCACCGTAATTAACCAAGATAATCAGATTAGAGGGAGTAAAGATGTCTTTCGATTCACCCTTTCCGAGATCTCAGTCCTTTGTGGGCCTGTGCGCATAGGTAAGGGAGAAAGAAAGGGAGAGACTAAGAAGACACAGGCCCCTTCAATGACACACCCTCAGTGGTCTGATTTCCTCCTACCAGACTCTTCTTATGCATACTGTTTTAAATGCTTTTTATTGAAGATTAAAGATTTTGGTAAAGAAAAGCATGGCTCAATGGTTAAGAGCTCTTTTTCTTGTTTTTATGTCTGTGTATCATGTGTACAGTGCTCTCGAAGGTTGGAGGAAGCATTGGATCCCTTGGAACTATGTGGGTGCTAGGAATCAAACTAGGGTCCTGAAAGAGCAGCCAATGCTCTTAACCACTGGACCATCTCTCCCGCCCCTAGCACAGTGGGTTTTTTTGTTATTGTTGTTGTTTGATTGTTTTGTTTCTTTTTTAAAAATATTTATTTATTATGTATACAATATTCTGTCTGTATGTCTGCAGGCCAGAAGAGGGCACCAGATCTCATTACAGATGGTTGTGAGCCACCATGTAGTTGCTGGGAATTGAATTTAGGCCCTTTGGAAGAGCAGGCAATGCTCTTAACCTCTGAGCCATCTCTCCAGCCCGATTGTTTTGTTTCTTGAGACAGTGTTTCACTATGTAGCTCAGACTGACCTGAAACTCTCGGAGATCTGCCTGCCCCTGCCTCCTAAGTGATGAGATAAAAGATATGCCCCACTGCATACGGCGTAAACACAGCATACTGTTTTAAATAACGTGTTCACTGGACTATAATTCAGATTCCATTTGTCTCACCTACTTGAAACACATAACCGCAGACGCTGCTGCTACAGTGTTCAGAAGAGACTTCACATTCATTAACTGTTATCCTTACCAGACTGTCTATCCTCCATCCCTTGCTCTGGGCAACTACCACATTTGGTAATTCACACCACGGGGGAGGGAGAGGG